GAGAGAGAGAGAGAGAGAGAGAGAGAGAGAGAGAGAGAGAGAGAGAAGCAGAGAGAGAGAGAAACAGAGAGGGGGTGAAGGGAAGAAGTGGGAAGAAGGGAAAGGATGATCAGAGGAGGGGGGAAGGAGGTTTGTCTCTTAAAAAGACAGGACAGACCATTACAATGATACCCTCAAGCACCTTTACAGATGTGAGAGTATGGCATTTGACATTTAATACAAAAGCTTTTTATGACACAGAGACACGACATCTCCTGGCAGCATCCTATATCTCCTTCAAGAAGACAGATAGCTGCAGAAGAAACTCCACTTGGAGGCTTACTTTGGATGTGGCAGGGCAAGTCACACAGTGAAAAAACTGCCTTTCACCTCTTCCACTGCCTAGACCCTGCCGGGACTGGACAAAAAGACACTGGGGACTCAATTGTTTCATCCTGCCAAGACGGGTAGGTTGATCTCCAGAACCCTACTCCACAGAAAATGTCTATCAGGCCTCCTGGGCTTAGCAGCTAAAGGCAAGTACTGCTTCTGAGACTTGGGATCACCAACAGACACAGAACATTCAGTAGTACAATATTGACAGCCTGTGTTTAAAAAAAAATATGTCCAAGTGGTTCTGGGAGAAGCTTAGGAAAGGCAATGACCTTCTCTTCTGATTCCATGCCTACTCAAGTCCGCCAGTAAGAATATATTCTAAATCCAATTATGTCTGATGCCCTGTCTTCTCAAGAAGATGAAATAGGAGTTGGTCTTACAATCACTTTGCCCATCACAGACAAATGCTGACAGTTATGTGTTTAATTACACATAATTAAGTTCTGATAATTAAGCACCTCAGCGGCAGAAATCCAACAGCCCTTCTAGCCTCAACTCCCTATCTCCCAGCCATAAACCATGTGGCTCCTCATTCTTAGTGGTTTTCCGCTGGATCTGCCCCTTCAGCTCTAAATGCTGCCCTCACTGCCTACCACACCACTGGCTCTACCTTTGATCCTCCTCAGTTGTTATCATTGCCATAAGGATAAGTTTCCCCCATTGGAGACAGTCTCAAGTGTTTTACTAGTCCTTCCCTTAAGATAACTTCAGTCTATTGACTTTTTGTTTAATCAAGTATGGTTTTTGGTAGATGTAGCTTCAGACAGACCAAGCAAAGCCAGGGACTTGTTTTTCGGAGGTATTTTGTTTGTTCACCTGGGTCTGATCAAGCCGAGCTGAGTTTTCACAGATTTTGCAGGCTCTAAGACGATCCCAAAAATTCACACTCCGAGCACAACTTTCAAACACAACCCAAGTTCTCCTTTCTTGTGAATTTTCAATTGTTTTTTGGTACACTTTTTTTTTCTGTGTACGTGTTTGTGTAGAGGGTGCACACGCGTGTCACTGCATGTGTGTGGAGGTCAGAGGACAGCTTGTGAGTGTCAGTTATCTCCTTCCTCCCTTCCACTATGTGGGTCCTGAGTTTGGCAGCAAGCACCTTTACACCTTGAGTCCCCTCGATGGTCCATTCATGCAACTTTTTTCTGGCCTGTTTTTAAATCTCGTCCCTCAACCCCTCCTGGAGTTATCACTCATCTGCCTGCACGCCACCGCTGACTGAGAGTTTCCTCGTGTGCTCATGATTTATTTTAGCATAGTGTCGTTGATGTGAAGGCCACTGGGGAGCGAGCAGCATAGTCCATTTTCTGCCCTATCTCTCCCCGTGTTCGCTGATCTCTTGCCTCATTTTACTTCTTTCATTTTAACAGTGCAAACAACCTCAGGTGCAGCCTCCTCCTCTTCCTCCACCTTCTCTTCTGCCTTGGGACCTGCATAATTCCCTAGCATTTACTAGCTTTTTAACTCACTTTGTTTATAATTTTTTTTAAAAAAAATGCTTCCATATTGCACTCTGGAACAGAAGTTTTCCCCATTATATCCTATCTATTTGGTCCTTCCTTTTATTCCTAAGTCTTTATTTTGAAGACTAAATTGTGAGTTTCTTGTTGGAAACTATTGGTCTTCATGTGCCTTATTATTCTCAAAGTCCAATGACCCTGTGAGTCTGCCAATCATCTTATAGATTGAAAAGGAAAATTATTGTTAATTAAATAAGGTAGGTCATATGATTCTGAAAAATAGTCCTATAATATGAAAAGTATATTATATGTGCAAAATCAGTTTTCTTTTCTGATTTTGAGCTGACATATAAAATTGTATATATTTATGGGGCACTATGTGATACTTCTATGTATGTACTTGACACTGCTTAAATCTGAGTTAATATATTTGCACCCTCAAATATATATTATTTCTGGCTGGTGAAAATATCTAGTATCCTTTGTTCTAGCCGTTTTGAAATATAAACGATTTGCCATCTGTGGCAACTCTCCTATGCAATTGAACACTGTAACTATTTCATTTTAAAGTTCTATTTATTTATTTATTCTATCTATATGTGTTTTCCTTATATGTTTGTTAGTATACTATGTGCATGCCTGGTGCTTGTGGAGGCCACAAGAGAGTGCCAGATCATCCATTATGAGCTGTCGTGTGGATTCTGGGACTCAAACCCAGGGCCTCTGGAAGAAAAGCCAGACCTCTTAAACAGAGTCATCTCTCCGGTGCCAGAACAGTCTTTTTTTTTATCTAGTTGTTTTACACCATGTGAACCAGGTATTCTTCACTTGTGTCTCCCTATTCTTCCCAGAATCTCAGAGCTACTTTTCTACTCTCAGCATATGAGTTGTTTTTTTTTTTTTAAGATTCCACATTTGAGTGACACCATGTTTGTTTTCTTTCTATATCCGGCTGGTTTCACTTAACATCTTCCAGCTCTAACCATGGTGTCACAAGTTACAAGATTCCACCTGCTTTATGAGTAAGCAGCATTCCATCGTGTAAAAGGCATTTTATTTGCCACTCATCAGTTGATTGACACAGGCTAATTCTGCTCCCCAGCCAATGTGAATAAGGCTGCAATAAATGGGAGACCACGCCTACCTCTAACACACTAGCAAGACTAGTTTTCTTCCTGGCCATGGTAACCTTGGAAGGAATAATACTAGAAAACTAAACTATTAATTCTCTGAAAATAAATGAAAGAAGATACACATATGTCTAATATAAGGCAGGATTTATTGAAGACTAGTCAGCACAGAATGGTGAAATCCAAGAAAGTTGGAGACCTGCGGGATACATTTAGCTGCATGCATCTGAGACACGCATGTAGAGGGAAGATCCTTGGGAAATATGGGCAGTGCTTAATGTAGGATTCTCTTCTGCCACTTTCTTATTGTTGTCAGGACAACAAACGTAGGAATTATATAATACATGGATGAAAAGTTCAGCTCACTGTCATTATGACTGCCTGGGAACTGGTATTCAGATAAGAAATTCAACAAGAGGGGCGGCAGCAAGTTGTACTACAGCAAGTGGTCTGGCAGCACACTGGGCGGCAGCAGCTGGGCACTCCACAGCTGGGACGGCAGGTGGTCTGGCAGCAGACAGGACGGCTGCAGCTGGACACGCCACAGCTGGGACGGCAGGTGGTCTGACAGCACACTGGGCGGCAGCAGCTGGACACGCCACAGCTGGGACGGCAGGTGGTCTGGCAGCACACTGGGCGGCAGCAGCTGGACACGCCACAGCTGGGACGGCAGGTGGTCGGGCAGCACACTGGGCGGCAGCAACTGGACACTCCACAGCTGGGGCGGCAGCAGGTGGTTTGGCAACAGGTGGTCTGGCAGCAGCTGGGTTGGCAGCAGCTCTCCTGGCAGGGACTTTGGTCACAGCCCTGCTCAGAGCAGACAGAGCCACAACATGAGTTGACCATGGTATGAGAAGTGGAGGTTCTGAGAGGTTTGGAAGAGAGGGAGTTTCTCAAGTATGTGAGCCTCCTTATTCCCTGTCCCCTTTTATACCCTGATGCTGTTGCCAGGTTAAGGGTCACTTCCTTGTTATTGTTTCTCTTAATTACATAAACAGTCACTAAATTAGTTAATTGTGGAAGACTCTATGTAAAAGTTAAATGGAATGCATTCTTTTCTTTCTCAGGGTCAGGGTTTATCAAATCAGTCTTTCCTCCTGAGTCACTTCTTCTGTTTCCTTATGTGTATCATCAAATTTTAAAAATTCCTAGTCTGATTCAATTGATTGATAGTCATGAGATGACATAGCATACAACAATCCAAGCGCCATCGTGGGGCCTCATACCAGTCCTGGAGTGGGTCTATGTCTCTTATATCCTAAAAAACTCTTGAAAAGTAAACTGCGACAGGACTAGAAGAAAATTTGACTGGTGAAGTTTGGATGAAGATTATGAAGGATAAAATGAATTTGTGACATGGGCACGAGACCATTCCATATTCATATTTCCCAAGAAGGGAATATGGAATGTCAATAAATGTGGGAAGGAACACAGGAATGCCTGAGATGATCCTCAATTTCTAGAGAATAGTTAGGGTAAATGATGTTCACATACCTCAGACATTTTTTATGAAGACAAATAACATTACTGCATTTTATACAACCTTGAAGATGCTGGGCTAAGAAGCAGGCTTCTCTGCCGAACTGTAAACTTATAACTCTGTATTATTATATTTATTGTATTGTTTGCATTATTGTATTGTATTGCATCATTATTTTGTATTACAAAGGAGCTGTAACAATAAAAAAAAAGCAAAATGCATTCAAGTCCTTGGCTGCCTTGAGCCCCGAGTTTCCCCATTCAGTTCTTATGGTAATTCTTGGTAATGCTGTCTAATTTCACTATACTAGGATGGATGAAAAGCTGCATATTATTCCCGCTGTTGAGATATTCATTGTAATCTGATGTCATTTATAAATAGTCTAAAAGTATATGAAAACTATGGAGGTGCAATTTGTTAAGCCCAAGATGGGATAGATGGTAGATATGTAGATACTGCATCTAAGTTGAAAGTGTTTCTATTCAAATTTTTTTATATCTTTAGTCTTCATCTTCAAATGATCATTTGTAAAAAAAGAAAAAAAGCTTTATGAAAGTCTGAGTCTACGTTGTCATTTTATCATTTTCCCATGTGTTTATGATAGTTATATTGAACATAGGTCAAGTGCTTATAAAAACAGGAGAGCTGACCTATTAGAGAAATGAAAATGTAGTGCAAGGAAATCACTGTCAAGGTCAGAGCAGGTGCATGCATGCTTATTCGATCTAATTGAACCAAAGGCCACGACCACTTATTTTTTTGGAGAAAACCAGTCCTCTCTGTGCAAAGGAAGAAAAATGATATGGGGAAATAACTCTTCCACCTTTTGAGTAATAATTCCTTTTATTAAAATTTAAATATTCATCTGCCATCTAATTCTCCTTCAGCTTGTCTTGGCTTCTACAGATGTGTGTAAATTCATCAAAAATTTAAGACTTAATAGTTCAAGGTACCTATTATGATATGGATGTTTTATGCAAGTTATTTTCTTTGTCCATGTGACAGCAATCCAAACCTTTCTCCAAATAAATTGGAGGTCAGATATGCTTAACGACCACAAATATTTATGATATTAAGACAGTAGGTATTTATTGGGACACAGTCACATGACTCTCTAAAAAGTCCAGGGCATGCCCAGGATGATAATATGACAACAAACTTGGTCAATAAAGTCACATGAAACCTCTGGTCATCTAGCAGAATGAGACAGGGAATTTACTACTTAATTGTTGGATAGTTTAAATAGTTGCTCACAAAAATACTTAGTCCAGATATGGTGGCACATTCCTAGATTAGCGCTTAGGAATTGGAGGCAGGAACATCAGGAGTTCAAAGCCAGCCTCAGCTAAGCAGAGAGTTTAAGGCTAGCCTAGGCTACATGAGACATTGTCTCCATTAAGAAAAGCAGAATAAAATAAAGGAGAGTTGATGGCATGACCAGCTGAGTGACAGATATAGTGATAGATAGATAGATAGATAGATAGATAGATAGATAGATAGATAGATAGATGGATGGATGGATGGATGGATGGATGGATAGATAGATAGATAGATAGATAGATAGATAGATAGATAGTGATGGCTCAGCACAAGCACAGGTGTAGTGGAGAAAACGAGGCTGGCACACTGGCAAGGCAAGAGCAACCCAGAACCGATGGGCAAGAACAACAAGAAACTGGGTTGACAGCACACAGTCTAACAACAGAAGTTCTGCCAGTATCAGGGGTAGCACAGAATCCCTAGCCGAGGCGTCGATTACACACAGCCCTAATCAAAGTAAGTGAAGCTACAAGAAAAGACTGTAGGAGGCTCTGCGTGACTCTTCAGAAACATAAGATTGCTCAGGGTGGGAGTCTGTATCCTGCTGCTAAGCTAGCATCATTGTGTTTGTGGTTGTCTTCTGACTGTGACCTTTCCAGACATTCTGGTCTTGACATGTTGTCTATGCCATTTTATTTGTTTTTTGAAGGGACATTTGCATGCTTTTCATTGAATCAACTCCTCACCTCTAGAAGCATGCGCCCCTTTTAAATGGCAGTAGCCTTATTTGTTTTTTGAAGGGACATTTGCATGATTTTCATTGAATCAACTCATCACCTCTAGAAGCATGCGACCCTTTTAAATGGCAGTAGCCTTTCATCCCGGGCCTCTTGTACCTTTCCGGGTGTGTCTCATTGCTGCACGGAGCATAGTATGCGTTGTTCCTCTTCCTCCAACCATTTAACTCTCTAATCTCTCCAGTTAGGATGGTATTTAAAATAGGTACAAAAATGGATACATCATACACAAAAGCCAGGCATCGGTATACAATAGCAAAGTGACCAGTAGAAAAATATCAGTATGGTACATTTGTAAATTATGAAGAAATCAATGAATAAGACTGGTGGGAGGCAAATTGTTTCAAATTTAGCATTCAAAATAACAGCATTCATTTTATTTCTTTTCCATACCAATTTTTGATTCATCTGTCCTATTGTAAATTTCAATTGGTGCAACTTTTAAAGCTAATAAACCCTAAATTCTCCTTTATTGTATGCTGGACATCAGTACCTGGAAGACCTAAAAGAGAAGATGCAGGAGAGGAGAAACTTGTCTCCCCTTAGAAGCTCTGCCTCCATGCGAGTCACCAGGACCCACACCTACTGCTCCTTGACTGCCTACCGGACTACTGCAAAGCCCCCTGCTGTGGGACCACCCACTGGAAACCAGTGACTGCAACACACCCTGTGCTCAGGCTCCCAGCCTCCAACCTAGCTGCTCCTGCAGCTCTTGCTGGCTGGGCAGCCACTGCCGACCTGCCTGCGGGCTGCCGTCTTCCACTGCTGTGACTGCTACAAACCATTCATGTACCAGCAGCAAGCCTACTCCCTAAGCGTGGCTGAAAACAGCGTGCTGACAGTGAAACAGGCTTTCACTTCCTACAGTACATGAAAGACCACGGAGGGAGGCGCTCTGCTTCACCCTGGGTTTATTGTCCATTGATCAGCCAAACATATGTTGATCAGCTCCACGATCTGGGTCCTGAGAAAGTCGGGATCTGCTTTTGTCTCTGCCGAACTTTAAAAACGGGCTGCATTTGATTCTCTAGAATAATCAGTTTCAGAGTTCTTTTAGTGTGTATGCCGTATGGTCAGCAAGCTCTGCCAAGTTTCCAGTGAACGCTTTCCAAATCATTGTAATTGCTTTTCTACTAAAATTTGTATTATTTTGTACTATGTGAGAAACATTTGCCTTGTTATTTATCACAGCAGTTCCTTCATAAAGACTTACCTCAATTTTAAAAATTTATTATTTTTAAATTTCTTTATTTACACCTATGTGTGTATATTATGGCATGTATATCTCCCCAGCTACATCATTCCATGATTCCCCCCCCCTCCCATTAGTCCCCTTTGTTCCCCTAGACTATTTCAGGTCATGTTTTGTGACTATATAAAGTCTAGGAACCACAAGTAAGAGAAAACACAAAATCTTCTTCTTTCTGAAACTGCCTTAAATTGATACGATTATCAACAGTTTAATTAATTTTTTGGCAAATGACATAGCTTTGGTCTCCTTTACAGCTGAAAATAATTCCATTGTGTACATATTCCACATTTTCCTTATCCTTTTCTCTGTCAGTGGACAGCTAAGGTTGGTTCCATAACTCAGCTGTTGTGAGCAGGTCCTGCATGGACACATGTGCAAGTGTCCCTGTGGCACAAGGACTTGATGTCCTGAAGGTAAGTGCTCAGGTCACATGATAGAGCTCATTAGCTGAATTTTACATGCATCACTTTATTGTAGTCTCAGAATGAGGTTGCAAACTAAGCTGAGGAACACTCATCAGTCTCATTTTAATGATGGAAGAAGAATTTTCTATGCAACCAGGAGCTGACAGAGCAGATTCAGTGCCCCAGCCCTTTTACTCCAGGCCAAGAGCACTTAAAAAAACAAAGTATTTTCTCCACAAAAACACTTGCAAAGCATGTATGTGCTTTTCTACGCGCGTGCCGATTCTGACACGCGTGCCGATTCTGACACGCGTGATGACTCGGGCATGCGCATGCCCCTCAGCGTGTGTGCCAATTCCGACACACGTGCCGATTCTGTCACACGTGACGATTCTGACACGCGTGCCGATTCTGACACGCGTGACAATTCTGACACGCGCGACGTTTCGGGCACGCGTGGGCGCCCTTCTGCACGTGTGCCGATTCTGACACACGTGCCGATTCCGACACGCGTGACGATTCCGGTTCTGACAGGCGTGACGGTTCTGACACGCATGCCGATTTGGGCACACATGCCGTTTCTGACATGCGTGGCGATTCAGGCACACATGCCGGTCCTGACACATGTGACGATTCTGACATGTGTCACGATT